CTCCCCTTGGTTCAAGTATGGATCTTGTGCTTTCAGTGGTACATGCCCAATACTACCTACCACACATACGCATACTTTCCTCGAGAGGTATACTGAATCCTCTAAGTCACCTTCTCAAATCGGTACTACAAGTACCTGGTAAACAACAAAATCCAAGCCTCTAAAGCACTTCCTAGGCTCTCCTAAGTTCCTGACCTCACCCTGCCATCAGCTGTTGAAGAACTCCCACTAATGCCAGCTTACTACTTCATAAATCATGCAACAAAGCTTAAATAATCCTTCGAGTAAAAGACTCAATCCTTAAAACGATTAGATTCGGACAAGAGCTACACAATATGATTAAATTCATCACTTTGAGTTTATTTAACCTTTACAGCATGCAACTTAACCTATTCACTTAATAGTTAACTCCCATCACTAAGGGGCCCCACAAAGCACAAAGGAAGCAATATCCGTGCAGTAACACTCCAAGCCACAAAACAACAAAAGGACATCTCAAGTTTAATTACTATTACCATGCTAGGAACTTATACTCTCACTGTTGGTTACCTTATGCATGCAAATTATACACAATATAGGAAATATGATCCTAATCATATACAATTTTTAAAGCATACACATAGCAATCACTTCTACCAATACAGGTTTGAAATCTAGCATATCAATTTATTCTCCTAGGCTACAAGGCACAACATATCAGACCGATCTATCATGAAATTCCTAAAAGTATCCTTAGCCTTATCCTATCATTTAACATTCATATCCTATATCAAATCAACATGTATAGGTATTCTGGGAATCAGTTACTTAAGCTCGGCTGATTTCACACATCAAACCCCCTTTCTATTTATAGAAATCTTTTTTGAAATTTGTTTTCTTTCAAAAGATTAAAAATTCCGTAGTTTGAGTTCAGTCACACCCGACTGTGCATCCGAATCTCTCAAACCAACACTCTGATACCAACTTGTAATGTCCCGAAAATCCATTGTAAAATTTTCATTTTTAAACAATAATTCATATAACAATTTGTTCTCAAAACCATTCAAGATAAAAACAAATAGTATATAAACACCAGAGTAGAAATTATCAATGAGGAATAAACTTCAGGCCATATTGTGCAGTCATGCCAAGCCCTTCCCTTCCGAATCGGAAGTACGTGAAACCATAAAGATAAATCATAAGTAGAAAGGTTAGTGAGTTCCCTAGAGTACCACATAAAACATATATTCATATAAAAGAACGTGGTTGTGTCAGGTCCCTATCAAACCCATATGACACCAATAGCAGTGTTGGGTCCGTATCAGCCCTATATGAAATAAAATAGTTGTGTCAAGTTTTGTTTCAACCCAATACGACAAAAAATAGATGTCTTAGGTCCATATCAACCCCATATGATAGCGTGTAGATGTTTCGAGTCTGTATCAACCCCTGGGTCTGTATTAACCCATATACATAAGCATACAGACATATAAGTGTGAGTAACAAAGATGTCAAGCTCATACAAGAATATCAATAAGTGTCACAAAGACCACTACTATCCTATAAAATAATCCAATGGGCAGATATAGGTTCCTATGACACACAAGCACAGTGAGGAGACACATATGAACTATTCAACAGTAGCCCGATAACTACCTTAGCAACAAAACATCCTAAACCAAGCTTCAGAAAGCCAACTGAACCAATTCGCTAGCCAAAAGTTCAATTCAACTCAAGTTTGACCAAAATTCAAACTAGTCAAAAAGTCAATGGTCAAAGGAAGTCAACAAAAGCCAAAGACCGTGACAGGTGAGTATGCCTAACGTATTCAACTTACACCAGCATACTCAACTTATGCCCAATGTACAAGATTCATCCTAGTGTGCTAAGCGTACTCCCAAGTACACCCTGCGTGCATGAGCTGGTTCCAATATTCCCATTAAGTACTTTATCCTTTAAGGACTTTTGTCTAGAGCTAAGATATAGATTCAAAACATCAACTTAAGTCATAGAGTTTCCACATTTATGACTTTCCATGGCTAGAAAAGGTCCAAAAGCTAAAACCATAACTTATGTATCCATTAAGATGTCTTAACTCTTTCACGCAAGGGATAGAAAGACCAAGATCACATTTTATGGTTCCTAATAACTTTATCCATTACAATGGTCCAAACAACCAAGATCTAGTCTTTTAAGTCTCAAAGGGACCAAAGCTGCATCTTTTTCAACTTAATCCATTAAGTCCAAGTCTCCAACCTTTAGATCTGAATCAATATGATGTTTATATGGATAAAGTTTCTAACTTTATCCATAAAAAGGTCACAAACTTTCAAGATCTAAACTTTATGCACTAAAGTGACCAAAAGTTCATAACACCAAAAACTAGCTAGATCTAACAAATGCATCATCAAGATTCAAGCTTTATACCTCAAGAAGAAAGATCAAGGCGAACAAAGTCTGGATCTACAAGTGCTAATGCAAGCAACACTTCTACAAAGAGCTCCTTCTTCTCCAGGATGCACCGAGAACACTCCAAAGTACTCAAAAATTCCTTCTTTTGCTCAAAAGGCTCAAACTAGGGTTATGGTTTTTAAGGGAGGGTGTTGGAGAGGTGGAGGATGAGAATGGAATGCATTTGGGGAAGTTAAGGGGCTTAAATAGGGCTTAAATGATGAAAATAGGGTTTGGGCACTGATCACATACGCCCATCATACTCCTGGTATGCCCTTAGTACCAGGGATGCCCGAGTACGCCCAACGTACTTCCTGTATGCCCAACATACTAGACTAAGTCCAAAACCTTTCTAACTTCTAACAGTCATAACTTCCTCATTCTAACTTTGTTTTTGACGATATGTATATTCACGGAAAGGAATTGAGGAGCTTTATAACCATATCTAATTACTTTTCACTTAAAACACATCAAACTAAAATCCTTAATTTACAAAAGAAGTTTGAAGCGCCACTTTTCCCATTTTACCCTTTGACTCCAAAGTACAAAGCGAACTCTTGGATCATATAATCTACATTACCCACATCCGAATGGGTCTAAACCCCTCTTTCTTAAAGCTTGAAGCCTTATGATACTTGATCTTCGGGTCATGACCTCGAATTATGAAACGACTCAAAAAAGTGTGTTACATTTAATGCTAGATTCTTACAAGTAAACTTGATGTTTATGTATGATTGTTTATAAGCTTATTCCATGGTTTGGTTGAAGTTTTAAAAATCTTGATTTTATTCTAGGGTTTTGAAACCCTAGAAATGGAAATGAAGAAGTTGATGATTGTATGGTATAATCTCACTAAAACATGTGTTTATTAGCTTGATTAATGTAGTTTGACAAGTATTTGAGCAAAGGATGCTCAAGTTAGAGTTTTTGTCCAAAATACGAGTTTTTTGGCTAAACTCACAAGTGATGTCATAATAGATTAAGACATGTATGAGAGACTTAATGCATGTAAATGTTAAAGGTGATAGAAAGGAATTAGAGCCTCTCAGGATAAGATTTAGAGAAGTTAGAAGTATGCTACTAAATCTACAACATAAGGTGACTTATACTTTTCTTTTAGAGTACGGCTATGTAATGTAGAGCATGAAGAAGCATTTGATTGTATGGGTGTAATCGTTAAATCACATCGTTAGATTTTTTTATGATACATAACTTGTGTTATGTTTATTATGTGTATGTTATGCATGGAAATAGTATATTATAGGATCCCTAGGTAGAGTATGTTAGATTATGCATCGAAACAGAGAAGATGATGACCGACGGTTCACCATTCGATATACATGTAGATGCTTAGCCACTTATGTGAAAAGTCACACTACTAGAAAAACAGCCTTTTACGACACTCATTGCGCGTCCTAAAAGGCTCAGACGACGCGCAAATGCGCATCAAGGAAGACCCTGTCATAAAAAGAGACGACGTGCATTTACGACGCTCATTTACGACGCACGTTTACAACACGCAATGTGTCTCAAGGAAGGCCCTGTCATAAAGGAAGACGACACGCATTCGTGTGTCGTAACCTTACGGCGCGCGTGTTAATGACACGCAATGCATATCAAGAAAGCCCCTGTCAAGAAAGGCCATGTCATAAATCAAGATGACACACATTTTTGCGTATCATAATTTTAAATGTTAAAAAAAATTATTTATAGATTTACTAATTTTCAAATTAAATAATACATTAAAAATCTCATAATACAAAATAAAATACCATAAATAAAAAAGATAATTCATTACACTAATATGTCAAATACAAATAATTATTCCAAAAGTGAGTAAATATTACAAAAAATGAACTCATTTATATACAATTGCATCATCCAGCTTACTATGTGCCAACAACTCTCTGTGTTTACGTTTGCTTGAGTCTCATTTCCTCCAAAGCTTCTAGCCATGCCAAAATATGATATCTTGAGTCTCGTTTCAAGAACCAAAATCACCTTCAATCACCCAATTAAACTCTAATGTTGGTAGACTAAGAGTTCCAGAATCAAGTTTACATCCATCACCTTCAATCACCCAATTAACTCTAGATCTTCTGTTGTTTGAAAGAAATTAGTTTTTGTAATCTATGAACAAAAAACGCAAAGACCAAGGTTAACATTTGCTATATAGAAAGAACAACTGGACATATGAATATATAATACATAACATAAACATTATCATGAAAATGATATAGACAAATAAGTAAGACTGATGATATTGATACCTTAATTACGCCATTGGTGAACGAAATTTTAATTGGTTAATAGTGATACTTGACCTCTGAAAACAAATAAACAAAGGATCGCATCATAATTAACTCAATGAAGTAATTCTTATACATTGTCTCTACCAAAAGATTCATCATGGAAACATTTTTGATGGAAAGAACTAAACAAAAACATAAATACTAAGAAAAAAAATTATAATAATCATCATTTAGAGCAGGATGAGGAGTCCGATCAGGCCATATGAGACAATTTAAGTAGAAATTTAATTCATTTGGTGTATCTCCAAAGTTACCTCCCTATGCCCAGTATTTGCTACCATTTGCATTTTCCTTGAGTAACCCCTGAAACCAGATGAAAATATTTAGAACTACCCTTGCAACACATTTACAATTTTATAAAATTTAAGAGATGAGTTTCAAACCTGGTCAACCCAATCCCAAATAAACCCTCCTTGCAGACCAAATGTGCTATCGATTGTTTCCCAATATTCATAGTGTAAAACTCTTGATGGATCCTTCCCACGAATCCACCCTGAAATACATTAAATTATAAAGTGAAAGATAACTTTGATGCAAATTATAAAGTGAAAGATAACTTTGATGCAAAACAATTCGAATCATATACATACCAGCAAGAACAACATGATTTGGTCCATAGCTTGCTTCATTTCCTAAAGACCAAGAAATTATGCATGCATGGTTTTTGTCTCTTTACACCTCTTATTACAATTGGATGCCCATTAACAAGCAACTGTTTTGGAGCTTTTGAAGTTTGCCATATGCCTACTTGACATGATTCATAGTCGATAATGTTGCATGATGCATCTTTCAGGGTGACAACTAATGTATACTAATTTGGCTACATGCAACATAATCCAATGTTATTAGATGAAGAGGTGAAAAGAAAAGTAATTTGTTTGATTAAAACTATAACTTTAAGTGATAAATACATTTGATTGATTATAATAAAGTTTGTTATTTATGTTCATCTTTGTGAAGATTGTGAAGAATATACAAAGAAGCAGATGAAAAGAATATACAAACGGAGTAGCTTAACAAGTCCAAACCAGTTGAAATTGTCACCATTTTTCTCTTCTCAAACATCTTTACAAGAAGAATCATAACAATTATATGACCAACTTTTGTCTTTAATTCATCAAGCGAACTTATCTTCATCCATTTAGGTCGCTCCTTCAATCCAATTAAATTATATTAATTAATTATCTATCCCCACATCTTTTACACAAATAAACTATGTAGGTTGTGTTTGTTACATCCAACATGACAACCTTTTGGTACATATTTTTGTCCTATTGGCATTGGAATCAATGTCAAACACACTACCATGTTCTCTCTTGTCCTATTCATTATGGTCGCAGTCGAACGTGCACCAAACACAGTAAACACAGTACAGTCTGTTCTATCACATGGTGTCCCACTTTTTGATGAAAAAAAATATTGCAATTTTTGTCTTACTGTAATCAGTTATGGTCCCGTTGCAAGTCCAATACAGGTCAAACACTGTACAAAATCATGCTATAATGTAAAGTAAAAAGTGCTAAAAAAGAATTTACACTGAAAGCAAACATCCCAAATAGAGAAGAACCCTTTATAGCACGATCATCTTCTGGTGCTATACTATTTGGTGCATTACTGATGAAAAATCCATACAAACCCACTGCAAATATCAGTATAACTGTCCTAGCAAGATACACATCTGCATTCAGATTTTAAAAATATAAGCAAAATTTTAAATACCTTTACTTGAAAATAATACAAATTAAACTTCAATAGTTACTGTTTTTTGTTTTTCAAATTTCTATGGGGGCAAAATGTAGAAGCTAGTAGACTCACCTATTGCTTCAACCAAACGCATCACCATTTTCCCTGAAAGAGATCCTTTCAAGCAGCTTGTCCAGTAGATTTTATATGCATCAACAACATAAACACAGCCCTAGGAACATCCAATAAATTCAAGATCACTTTGATTCATCCAAACATAACAATAGAAACACAGAAAACAGAATTATAGATAAATTTAGTAAAATAAATGAGTGTATAGAGAATTATTAGATCAAGAAAGCATAGAAAGGAGCCAACTAATGAGCCTGCAATAGCCAGAAGTGCACAAAACCGGAAGTCAAATATCACCTGTTCAGTAGCAGACATGGAAACAAATGGATGTATTACAAGACTGCAAGAGAACCCATGGTCATTCATTATAGATAATTACATTAGGATTGATACTAATTCCATGGACTACCTCATTCTAGAGGAATTTGGTGAAGAACCTCTTAGCTTCAATACTGTCACCATAGTTTTAACAGTTTCACCACTTTTTTTTCTCTCTTTGGCATTTCTACAAACACTTTATGTTCATATTTCTTAAGCATGTTCTGAACCTATACAACCCAATTGTTAGAATCAATCCAGTCAATTCCTTTCTTAGCAACCTCTCTGACTTCCTCTCTTGGGGGATCCAACATTCCAACCTTAAAGTAAACAAACAGGAACCCAACATTTTTGCTTTCTGATACAAACTTGCATTGTTCCTCAAACATCAGTTTATGAACAACTATTACAATCATACATCATACAGACTAAGCTTTTTCCAAGCAGGTCCGAACAATCATAATATAATCACAAAATATGTAAATAAAGAAACAAAGATATATAAATAGAAAAATAAGTATTGTGGTACCTGTTTAGCGTTAATCACATGTCAATCGGAGTTGAGGGCTTTAAGAACTGAAATCGGACCATATTTGAGCTGGTTGGACATATTTATTCTGATATTTGTGTGCATAATACTCGAAATTCAGAAACCCTAGATGTATAAACCACGCTTCGTGAACCCCATAGGGAAGGATAAGGAACTCATAATTCATGTCTGTTTGCGAACGAAGGGGGAACGAAAGAATGTTAGAATCAAAGTCTATTTTGATAAAATACAAAGATGATGATGGTGATTTGTTGACTATAACATGTACCTGTGAGCTCAGATTAGCTAAATCGATTGCAGATGGCCTTGTGCTTCCAGATAAAGAACCCTATACCTAAAAATTCGACTTATTTGGGGTTTTTAAATTGCATATTGGCGAGGTTACCCCTGAGCAGGAACTACCATTGTTAGATGAAGTAGAAGAAGACGAAGTGGAAGAAGAAAATCCGGTTGAGATCGAGAGTATTGAAGTAGAAAAGAACAGGTCCCATTCCAATTTCGAAAGTGAACAAAACCGGAAAAGGAATCTGAAAAAATACCCGATGATCTAGAGTTGAAAGAAGTTGAAATGGAAGATTGATTTTTTGAATTTGCTCAGTTATTCCGAACCCTCGCACGTACTGGGTTGGAAGAAAACGAGAGAAGTAAAAGCTTGAAAGAAAATAAAACCCTAGCACGTGCTAGAGAGAAGGGAGGTGGTGATGGCTTAGGGTTTACAAAGAGACGGGAGGTAGAGAATGAGGGGAGATCTAGATGAGAGAGTATCAGAGAGGGGAGAGTGGATTGCAAGGATGAAAGATAGATATAAGATAGAAAAAAACGAGGCGGGTTTTCAAAATTTTGGGGATTTCGTTTCCCCCCTTGTCTACTAAAAGCGCGTTTCACTAAAATTATAAAGCGACAGGTATAGACGACACACGTTTAAGATAAAGTGCCCTCCGTGTTTTTATTTTTTTTCTTGAGACACTAAATTAAGGGCACGCAATAATGTGTGACGTAAATCCTTAAATTTTTTGGAGAGATAACACTATTTTAAGGGCACGTCCTTTTGTGTATCATTAATCAGTGCGTTTCGTAAAAAGTGCGTCATTAAAGGTCTGCTTTCTAGTAGAGTCATATATGTTATGTATGACTATGTTGTTTTATGATCATGTTATAACTCACCAGATTTATTGTTTGACATATATTGTTTCCAAGTATTTAACAGGTTCTTGTTGCAAGCGTTAAAGAGTGACGACTTAGAAGCAACTAGCACCATGGACTAGACTTTTGTTTCTACAATTATCCTTGCTTTCTTAGTTATGGTTATGATATAGATTTGATAATACCCGTGAATGTTTTGCTGAGAATACCTTTTAAAAGTTTTTTGAACTCTGGTTTTTGGTATCTTTGATGTAAAACTTTGATTTTAATCCCGATTTATAAATATTAAATATTTATGAAAAGTGTGGGTTGTTACAGTTAGTATGGGAGTCATAGTTTAAGCGTATTAGGTTGCATTGTCCTTACTTAGGCTTAAAATATGTTGAAGAAAAAAAGAACAAGAGTGTTTTAGAATATTTTCTTTTAATTCTTTTATGAATTTTAATTGCTAGATTACATAAATCAACTTATTCATCTTAATTGGGTTATGGTTACAGAATGTTTTACAATAGAAGTGGTGTAGACACACAAGAGGGTAAATGGACTTTCGTGCGAAGAGGAAATCCATAGTTAGTCACTATGGATGTCATTAAGAATCTTAGATCACATTTATATATTCATTTGTTATATAAACATATTAAGTCACATTCAACATCATGTATATCATAACAATCTTAGGTTAGGTTTATCAACAAGATTATCCTTTTTCAAATTGCTAGGCGTATGCTCTAAGCAATCCAAACAAAAGGTAACGCGTACCTTATAAATAGCCATGGTTTACATCGACGTGTTAATATACTAAACCCTAATACTCTTATTTGAGCTCTCATCGATTCCCTCCAACGTACTACTAGCTTTACCATCACAATTTGATCTTGGGTCCCCACCCGAGATCATTTCAAGTATCACTAGAACAAACATTGGAGCGATGTACCTTGCCTCAACTGTCTCGTGAATGTAGGTATTTATCAATTATATATATATATATATATATATATATATATATATATATATATATATATATGCCTAGGTTAATTTATTCAAAGTAATTATTGTGTTATTGTATACATAACTATGGGCCAATCAATTTTACTTATTTTAAGAAAGTGAGTAATTTATATTATTGAATTAAATGTAATTGAAAAATATCATCTAAATTAATTACAAGGATATTTTAGTCAATTAATAGATATTTAATAAAGGAAAATTGCATATTTTAAGGGATCGTAGATTCTATTATGTTTAAAAATCCGATTTTACGAATAACTATTTTAATTCGGACATTCTGACAGAATATGTTTATTTATTTAATTATTTACTCAAAAATAAAAATATTCTTGAACAATAAATAATAAAAATATTCTTGAACCTATTTCTTGATCATGACTTTAAGAACTTCTTATAGAATAACAAATTTTTGAACAATCAATTGAAGAATAAAAACAAAAAATACATTATTTCTTATAAAATACGGGTAACAGTTGTTAAGAATTACAATGACTAATAAATTCTAAAAGAGTAATGTGGTCCGTTTCAATTTTGTGGTCCGTTCTTCAAGCATCAACTTTTGTGATTCCAACATAATTGGAATTTGTAATTCCATTCCAACAGAAATGGAATACGTGATTCCATTCCAATAGAATTGGAATCTCACCAATATCATCCATTGAATCATCTACATAAACATACTTGATACCTTTTCAGAATTCAACCTTGTTAAGATCCTGCACTGTCCACATAAATGAAGTATTAAAAAAAACATAAATTGAAATATGAATCAAACCATTTGAATCAGTCCCTTTGCTGCATCAATCGGACCATTTGAAAGAAACACATATGGTCTCCATATCACTCAAAACCCCCCAATTCCACTTGAATTGGAATTATAAAGTTGAGTTATCGATTCCTTTAACAAACAAAAACGGAAGGAAAAAAACCTAAGTGAAAATTAATTCGAACAGCGCTTCATGTTTAATTATATCAAAAATCAAATCTAACCAAACATCGATTCACTCGAATACGAAGCTCAAAAGAAAAATAATTCATTCAAACAAGTAAAGCAATAAACCTCGTAACCAACACAGAAACTCAATCTGGACAAAAAATGGATCATCGGAAAAAAAAAAAAAAAAAAAAAAAAAAAAAAAAAAAAAAAAAAACTAACTAAAGAGAAAAGAGTAAGCTAACCTGATTGGTAGAAGTTGGTTGATTGATTTGAACAGAAATCGATGGATCAAAGGAAGTAACAAGTGTAGATCAGAAGATTGATTAGGGTTCGTAATCGAAATCTTTTCGTTGGAAGGATGGTGAAAGTCAGGGGCGATGGTGGGTATTGGTATTGGAGTACATTGTCTTTCAAAAAAAAGATATAAAACCTGCAGAAATTACGGTTAAAAGTCAATACCATGATTATAGGAATTACTTTTGGAAGTTGTTAATCATATGACTAAATTACCCTTATTTATTTATTAAATTATTTTTTTTATATTGATTGGCCCACATTTATGCATACGGTAAGACAATAATTACTTTAAACACCTGAATCTCTCTCTCTCTCTCTCTCTCTATATATATATATATATATATATATATATATATATATATATATATATATATATATATATATATATATATATATATATATATATATATATATATATATATATATATAAGGAAAATTAAATATTTAGAAGAATAATTTAGCAAAAAAAGAGTGAGTTGTGTTCATAAAATCAAAAACATTAGTATAGAGTTTGACATTTGGTTTCATTGTTGATATATATAAATAATCTAAAATGACTAGTTTATGAACAACTCCAAATTGGTTATGAGTTCCGACCACCTCATCTCCACACATCAAACTTGTGACTTTTATTTATTATATGAGTGGTTGAAAAAAGTAATTGAAATCTTTTAAAATGTAAAAAGTTACTTAAAAAGATAAATTCCTTTTAAAAAGAAAGATAAATATATAATATATTTTTTAAGGGAAATTTGGAAAATTGATTTAGAAAGCCTAATAGCTTTTACTTAACGGTACGTGAAATACTTTTTAGTTTTTAGATTTAGAACGTTTGATTTAATTTAAAAGTTAAACATTCATTCTCTAAAATTGAGATTTTTTTTATTAAAAAACTTAAAGATTGAAGCTCCTAAATGTTCATCGTCAAACATGTCCACCCTATCTACACCATGAAAAATAAAATATGAAATTTTATAATTTTGGAGTTGGAAAAAAAGAAAATGAAAGTCGAGAACTTTTCATTTTCTTAGAGTTTAAGAAAATTAGTATGAAAGCTCATTGTTTTGAACTTGTATACAAACTTAGGTGGATACTTTTGTCATTTTATAGTTTTATAAAACCTTTCATTATCTATCTTTCCAAAACTAAAAGTAAATATATGGAAGGAAAAATACGAAAGAAAAAAGAAAAGATTTTTTTTCCTTTTCC